TTGGGATTACAGGCATGAGCCACTGCACCTGGCCAACATTTCTTGAACGAATGAAAGGAAGAATGAATTGGAGGCTCTGACCTTATCCACATCGGGATCCGTGAGTATAAACATGAGTACTTCCACATCAACTACTGAGGTCATATACGAGTGGGCAGGTGAGAGTTAGCAGGAGGGTGCTGGTGACCAGCCATCTGCTCTCCTTCAGTCAGGCTTGTCACACTGGAGAAACCAAAGCAGTACCACCGGACACTGGGTCAGGCCTGAGGGGGAGAAGCAAGAGGGAGAGCAACAGAGAGAACAGGACAGCCTGCCTTTCAGTTGCTTACAGTCTAGCTGGCCACACAGAGGGCAGGTGGGAGTGAGATGGAATAGGTTGTCCCTCACTCAGTGCTCACTGTGCTGGTGTCACACTCATCACAGTACTGGCATTAAAATTTTTTAATTTTTTGAGACAGGGTCTTATTTGTATCATCCAGACAATCACAGCTCACTGCAGCCTTGACCTCCTGGGCTCAGGTGCTCCTGCTACCTCAGTCTCCTGGGTAGCTAGGGCTACAGGTATGCACCACCACATCGGGCTCATTTTTTGTATTTTTAGTAGAGACGACGTTTCATCATGTTGTTCAGGCTAGTCTGGAACTTTTGAGCTCAAGTGATCTGCCTCCCCCAGGCCTCCCAAAGTGCTGGGACTCCAGGCATGAGTCACCACCTCCAGCTCTACCAATAAAATAATTTCAGAGTGGTGAGCGCTCTAAAGAAAATAAGGGTAGGGTGCAGTGGCTCACATCTGGAATCCCAGCACATTGAGAGGTCAAGGCAAGAAGATGGCTTGAGGCCAGGAGTTCAAGACCGGCCCAGCCAGCATAGCAAGACCCTGTCTCTACAAAAAAAAAAAAAATTAAAACAAACAAACAAACCAAAAAAAACACAGCCGGGCCCGGTGGCTCACACCTGTAATCCCAGCACTTTGGGAGGCTGAGGCAGGGGGATCACGAGGTCAGGAGTTTGAGACCAGCCTGACCAACATAGTGAAACCACATTTTTATTAACAATTAAAAAAAAAAAAAATTAGCCGGGCATGGTAGCAGGCACCTGTAATCCCAGCTACTCAGGAGTCTGAGGCAGGGGAATTGCCTGAACCCAGGAGGCGGAGGTTGCAGTGAGCTGAGATCGTGCTGTTGCACTCCAGCCTGGGCAACAGAGTGAGACTCCATCTGCCAAAAGAAAGAAAGAAAGAGGCCGGGCACGGTGGCTCATGCTTGTAATCCCAGCACTTTGGGAGGCCGAGGCGGGCAGATCATGAGGTCAGGAGATCGAGACCATCCTGGTGAACATGGTGAAACCCCGTCTCTACTAAAAATACAAAAAATTAGCCGGGCGTGGTGGCGGGCGCCTGTAGTCCCAGCTACTCGGGAGGCTGAGGCGGGAGAATGGCATAAACCCGGGAGGCGGAGCTTGCAGTGAGCCGAGATCGCGCCACTGCATTCCAGCCTGGGCGACAGAGCGAGACTCCGTCTCAAAAAAAAACCAAAAAACAAACAAACAAAAAAACACTTGGCTGGGCATGGTGGCTCATGCATGTCATCCTAGCACTTTGGGATGCCAAGGCAGGCAGATCACCTGAGGTCAGGATTTCGAGACCAGTCTGGCCAACATGGTAAAAACCCATCTCTACTAAAAATAAAAATTAGCTGGGCGTGGTGGCACGCCCTTGTAATCCCAGCTACTTGGGAGGCTGAGGCAGGAGAATCACTTGAACCTGGGAAACGGAGGTTGCAGTGAGCCTAGATCACGCCATTGCACTCCAGCCTGGGTGACAGAGCGACTCTGTCTCAAAAAAAAAAAAAAAAAAATTTAGCTAGGCGTGGTGGCACGCATCCATAGGCCCAGCTACTAGGGAGGCTAAAACAGAAGGATCCTGGAGCCCAGGGGGTCGAAACTGTAGTGAGCCGTGATCGTGGCACTGCACTCCAGCCTGGGTGACAGAATGAGACCCCATCTCAAAAAATAAATAAGTAAATAATAAACAGATGATAGCATGAAGAGAAGGGGAGGGGGACTAGGGACTGCTTTAGATGGCTGAGAAGCCCAGGAAGGCATCTCTGAGGTGACATGTGAGCAGAGATGTGAATGACAAGGAGCTCACCATGTAACAACCTGGGGATGGTGCTGTTCCAAAAGGCAGGAAGAAGCCTGGTGTGTTCAGGGAGCAGGATGAAGGCAAGCATGGTTTACTGAGATGGGAGACTGGAACTTTCTAAGCAGAAGTTAGTAGGGCCTCACTGGTGATTACCTATAGCCAGTTTGACTTTTCTCCAATCATGAGCTGGTAACACAAATGCCACCCTATGCTCAGGAGACCAGACTCCATTCCCAGCTAAGCCTGATGCTTTGTGTCCATCTCATGAGTGCTATAAAGGCCCAGGGTTGTCCAGGCACTGCTTGCCTAGAGCAGGTGAGCTACCCAGCTGGGCAGTGAAGGCCATCGGTCTGACCTCTGCTGCCACCCTGGCACTGTTGACTTTGGTGAGCTGCAGTGGGGGTGTCTAGGACCCTGGGAAACTGCAGAAACAGCTGGCAGGTCTGCAGAGACTGGTGAAGTATGGGGACTCACTAGCATGGCCTCCTTTTCCCGCAGAGATTCAAGAAGCTCAGAACAAGGTTTCCCTCCTGAAAAGTCCGTGGTTCTGAGGTGGGCCTCCAGCCTCTCCTGCCCTTCCTCTGCTATTGGGATCCCTGAACCAGACGTGGTACACACAGGGAAGGCTGGGGCCCTGGTATGGCAGTGCTGAGCAGGTCTTCGGACAACCCGTGGTTCCAACCCCAGCTCTACTCCTACTGCCTCATTAGTAAAACACAAGTAAAATACCACCTCCCTCCTTGGGTGGTGACCTTGAGGTGTCAATGCGATAATGCATCTCAAGTGCATGGTACTGCCTGACATATAGTACGGTTAGAAACTGATCATAGATAGGGAAACTGAGGCACTGGTAAACGTACCAGGGGGCCTGTGGCCTGTGTTTTAGTTACTCCAAGCAATTCTCTGCCTGCCTCTGGGCCATCAATCACCTATTCAAGCAATGAGGAATTGGCCTGAAAAATGCTAAAGCCTCTTCCATCTTAGGGCTTCTCTGGTTCTAAATCCCAAGCTAGGGCCACCCACTCTTCTAATACCTTTCATCCAGCCGGTCCTTGTTCCTTGGCTCTTACCCAAGGAAAATGCCTTTTTGCCACTCCAAAATGAACTGCAGCCTTTTGTGCTTATGAGCACAGTAAGAAAACAGCTCCTGATTGGCTGGAAACAGTGGTTCACATCTGTATTATTTGGAAGGCCAAGGGCGGGAGAATCACTTGAGCCCAGGAGTTAAAGCAGCCTGTGCAACATAGAGACCTCAATTCTACAAAAAATTAAAATTAGTTGGGCGGCCAGGCATGGTGGCTCATGCCTGTAATCCCAGCACTTCGGGAGGCCGAGGTGGCCGGATCACGAGGTCAGGTGTTCAAGACCAGCCTGGCCAACATGGTGAAGCCTCGTCTCTACCAAAAAATACAAAAATTAGCTGGGCAGGATGGCATGCTCCTATAGTCCCAGCTCCTGGGAGGGCTGAGATGGGAGAATTGCTTGAACCTGGGACACAGAGGTTGCAGTGAGCTGAGATCACACCACTGCACTCCAGCCTGGGCAAAAAGAGTGAGACCCTGTCTCAAAAATAAATAATTAAAAAATTAGTTGGGCATAGTGGTGTCTACCTGTGGCCTCAGCTACTGGGGAGGCTGAGATGAGGACTGCTTGGGCCCAGGAATTGAGGATGCAGTGAGCCATGATTATGCCACGCACTCCAGCCTACATGACAGGGCAAGAACTTCTCTCAAAAAAAAAAAAAAAAAAACCACAAAAAAACAAAAAACCCCACCTCCTGCTCCTTGGGTCCTTTCTCTGAAGTCCATCTTCTGAATGTCCTCTCAGAAACCCCCACAGTAGTCCTAGGGGGTGAGCGCCTTAGGATTCCACTTTTCTTGAGATGAAATGGGGACTCAGAGAGGGGAAGGGACTTGCCCTAAGTCCTCTGCTGGAAAACAGGGAGGAGTTGGCCGGGTGTGGTGGCTCATGCCTGTCATCCCAGCACTTTGGGAGGCCAAGGTGGGCGGATCACGAGGTCAAGAGATCAAGACCATCCCGGCCAACATGGTGAAACCCCATCTCTAAAAATAAAAAAATTAGCTGGGTATGGTGGCATGCGCTTGTAGTCCCAGCTATTCCGGAAGCTGAGGAAGGAGAATCATTTGAACCTGGGAGACGGAGGTTGCAGGGAGCCGAGATCTCACCATTGCACTCCAGCCTGGCGACAGAGCAAGACTCCATCTCAAAAAAAAAAAAAACAGGGAGGAGCAGGGAATTTGAATCCACGTCCACCCAACTTCAGCCAGAGGAGAGGGGACAAGCAGCTAAAGCCCAGGCTGGGAGGGGAACTTCTGCGCTAGTGCTTGGAAGTCGCAAGAGTGCCAAAGTCAGGGGCATCCCTGGGGGAAAGGACAAGCAGACACTTGACCTGATGGGAGCCTTTATTCACACACTCGCCTCCCCCCTCCACTTCTCTCTTCTCGGGCTTTTGGAATTGGGTGTAGCCCTCACTCCCGTGAGGACACCCAGCCTGGCCTCCAGCAAACCTGGCTGGTTGGAAGGAGTCCCAACAGGAGTGCTGCGACATCCCAGCATGAGCCCAGACGACTGATACTGTTCACGCATGGTTCTCCTTGGACAGCTGCTGGTCCCCCTGGGAGTGCCACTGTACTGCTTGCTCCCTGTGGGGTTCATCCTCAAGGCCACTCAGCAGTGGCTATGATAAATTATGATAAATGTTGTCCAAGGGTCAGTGTTCAAAGAAGAGGAACAAAGGTAGTCAAGGGAGCCCTCTGCCCCCAAGGGAAGCAGTAGATGGGGGAGGTAGGCCAGGCCCCGCTGGCTCAGGAACTCAGGCCAAGCCCTGGATATGCACGGGTGGTGCCGTAATGCCCAGCTCCTCCCGTAGAGCCCTCAGGGACTGCTCCCAGCGCCGCTCATAGTACAGGTTGAGGACACACGGGGCTCTGCGCCCGTTCTGAACGGCCCATGGGATCAACTCCGAGACCAGCACTTGCAGGCTCCTGTGGGGCAGCAGAGGAAAAAGAAAACATCAAGTCCCTGGGGGCCAGGCACTCGACTGCTCAGCACTTGTGCATTTTCTCAGTTCATCCTCACAAAGACCTCGGAAGGAGGTAGTTATTATCCCTGCTTTTCAGATGAGGCAACAGAGCTCAGTGAGGTGGAATCTCAAACCCAAAGCCACTCATCTTGAACATGCTGAAGCTCAGGTTTAAATCATAGCTCCCCCACTCCAGAATCTAACACCAACTTAACAGAATCTAACACCACTGACGCTCATCATTCTGACCATGCACTTAGGCCTGGCCCAAGAGACCCCAGAATCCTGTGAAACTTATAGGCTTTATTTGCTCACCTGAAGACCCTTGCCCCAGGCCAGTTTCACATCTCTGCTCTATTCTTTCTACCCTTACTTCCTGGAGAACTGGAAGGGGCAGGGCAGGCGCCCGTGTGCTCTTCCTACTTCTAGGAGCCCTTGTTCCTCTGAGTTCTGTCCTGACACCACCCTCAACCCTGACCCAGCCGCCACTTGAAAACTTACTGAGCACTGAGTTGGATCGGTCCAAAGAGAGCACCCAGGATGCACATGGGCAGGCCAGTCTGGACAGCCTCAAACCATTTCACCACGATCTCCCCTGGGGGTGAGGGATGGGTTGGGAAGTGAACAAGCTATCTGAAGGAAAGGCCAGTGGTGTTCACAGCAGGGCAAAGAGAGGCAACTGTTCCTCCCTAATCTCTACCAGGGTCAGCTGTGCCCAGTCCTGGCCTGTGCTGGGCCCTAGGGCACTTGGCTTGGAGTACGGGAGAGGGCCCAAGAGTGAACAGAAGGGAATAAGGGATGGAAAGGAAGCCTGGGGTCACAGCGCAGAGGATCCCATGACCCCATAAACCAGGCTAAACACTCCAGGATGGTTCCTGCAGGCCTTAGGGAGCTACTGAGGTTTCAGAGCAGGGAGGCAGCTAAAGCCCAAAAGACACCAGCCCATCTTGAAGATGGGCTGCTGCTACACTAGTGCAGGAGCCCTGAGGGCCAGTGGGAGGGAGAAGGGGGACATGTGGCAAAGATGCTACTAAGATGTTCAGGTAAAACAGAAATTGAGGCACCAAGCCAGGTGATGCAGAGGGTGGTGGAGATAGGCAAGCCCTGCTCTGGCCCTGAAGCCACCCCAGGGAGACAGGCTGTCAGGGTTGGGGGCACTCACCCAGGATGTTAGTGGGCATTCCCAGCAGGGTGTGAAGCATGTCGTGCACCTCCCGGTATCGCTGAATCACATACGCTAGCTCCTCATCATCCACGAAGCGGGTGGGTGCTCGGGTGTCTGGGGAGACCCTCTGACAACCATAAGCCCCCCCTAGAACCCTTCCTGATGGTTCTCAGGGCCCGATTTGCCAGTCTGTCTCTGACACTGTCACAACTCTCACCAAACTCATAACCTACCAGAAAACTCTGGCGACTAGCCGGGGGCCGAGGCTCATGCCTGTAAATCCCAGCACTTTGGGAGGCTAAGGTGGGCACATCACCTGAGATCAGGAGTTCAAGACCAACCTGACCAATACAGGGAAACTCTGTCTCTACTAAAAAATACAAAAATTAGCTGGGTGTGGTGGTGCACACCTATAGTCCCAGCTACTCGGGAGGCTAAGACAGGAGAGTCACTTGAACCTAGGAGGCGGAGGTTGTAGTGAGCCGAGATTGCACCACTGCACACTCCAGCCTGGGTGACAGAGACTCTGTCTTGAAAAAAAAAAAAAAAAATTAGTCGGGTGTGGTGGTGTGTGCCTATAGTCCTAGCTACTCAGGAGGCTGGGACAGGAAAATTGTTTGAGCCCAGGAGTTTGAGGTTACAGGGAGCTATGACTATACCACTGCACTCAAGCAAGACATTGTCTCTAAAAATAAAAAATGAAGCCCCAAAAACCCTGATCCTAGCACAAGCTGCTCCCAGCTTGGGGTGCTCTCTCCCACTACCCCTATCTTCACTGTGATAACTCCTACTTATCCTTCATGACCTGGGTTAAGTGTCCCCTGTCCCCCATCCCTTCCCCCCACCACAGAGAGGCCGCCCCTAACCTACAGACCAAGTGGGTTCATGTTATGGTCTCTGGAAGCATCATTCACCTCTTAGTGGCACTCAGAATAATTGTACCTTGATGTTTAGTGCATGTGAGTATTAATGTCTCCTAGACTTGCACTGTCCAGTATGGCAGCCGCTTGCCACATGTGGCCAAGAAAGGTGTCCAAGTGAAATGTGCTGAATATATAAAATACACACAAGACTTCAAATACTTAGTATGAAAAAAATGTACAAATCTCAATAATTTAAAAATATTGATTACTTGTTGAAATAATACTTTGGATATATCGGGCTAAACAAGATGCATATTTAAAATCAATTATAGCCAGGCACAGTGGCTCATGGTTATAATCCCAGCATTTTGGGAGGCCGAGGTGGGCGGATCACCTGAGGAGTTCAAGGCCAGCCTGACCAATATGGTGAAACCCCATCTCTACTAAAAATACAAAAATTAGCCAAGCATGGGGGCAGGCATCTGTAATCCCAGGTACTTGGGAGGCTGAGACAGGAGAATTGCTTGATCCCAGAAGGCGGAGGTTGCAGTGAGCTGAGATGGCTCCACTGCACTCCAGCCTGGGCAACAGAGTGAGACTCCATCTCAAAAAAACAAACAAACAAAAAATTAATTCCACCTTAATTTTAATAGCAAAATTTAATTTTAGTAGCAAAAAAATTAATTTTTTTGCTATTAAAGTAGCTGTCAGAATATTAAACATTACCTATGTGCTCACATTTATTTTATTTTTTTAGTCTTGCTCTGTTGCCCAGGCTGGAGTGCAGTGGCGTGATCTCGGCTCACTGCAAGCTCCGCTTCCCAGGTTCACGCTATTCTCCTGCCTCAGCCTCCCAAGTAGCTGGAACTACAGGCGCCTGCCACCACGCCCAGCTAATTTTTTGTATTTTTTAGTAGAGATGGGGTTTCATCATGTTAGCCAGGGTAGTCTCGATCTCCTGACCTTGTGATCCCAAAGTGCTAGGATTACAGGCGTGAGCCACTGCACCCAGCCTATTTTTTTTTTTTTTTTTTTTTTTTTTTTTTTTTTTTTTTTTTTTTTTTTTTTTTTTTTTTTGAGACGGAGTCTTGCTCTGTCACCCAGGCTGGAGTGCAGTGGCCGGATCTCAACTCACTGCAAGCTCTGCCTCCCAGGTTCACGCCATTCTCCTGCCTCAGCCTCCCGAGTAACTGGGACTACAGGCGCCCGCCACCTCACCTGGCTAGTTTTTTGTATTTTTTAGTAGAGATGGGGTTTCACCGTGTTCGCCAGGATGGTCTCGATCTCCTGACCTCATGATCCGCCCGTCTGTAATCCCTGTGCTGGGATTACAGGTTTGAGCCACCGCGCCCGGCCTTTTTGTTTGTTTTCTGAGACAGAGTCTCGCTCTGTTGCCCAGGATGGAGTGCTGTGGTGCAATCTCAGCTCACTGCAACCTCCTCCTCCTCCTCTCGGATTCAAGCAATTCTTCTGCCTCAGCCTCCTGAGTAGCTGGGATTACAGGCACGTGCCACCACACCCAGCTAATGTTTTCTTTTTCTTTTTCTTTTTTTTTTTTTGAGACGGAGTCTCGCTCTGTTGCCCAGGCTGGAGGGCAGTGGCCGGATCTCAGCTCACTGCAAGCTCCGCCTCCCGGGTTTACGCCATTCTCCTGCCTCAGCCTCCCGAGTAGCTGGGACTACAGGCGCCCACCACCTCGCCCGGCTAGTTTTTTTTTTTTTTTTTGTATTTTTTAGTAGAGACGGGGTTTCACTGTGTTAGCCAGGATGGTCTCGATCTCCTGACCTCGTGATCCGCCCGTCTCGGCCTCCCAAAGTGCTGGGATTACAGGCTTGAGCCACCACGCCCGGCCCTTTTTTTTTTTTTTAAAGTAGAGATGGGGTTTCACCATGTTGGTCAGGCTGGTCTCAAACTCCTGACCTTGTGATCCACCCGCCTCGGCCTCCTGAAGTGCTGGGATTACAGGCGTGAGCCACCACACCCGGCCACTCACATTTTATTTTTATTGACAGTATCAAAATAGCCTGTCTGCTACACACGGGCAGGACTGGCTCTGTTTCGCTTATTCTTTTACCTCCAGTAGCCTGATCCAGGGCCTGGATGAATGAACATCTCTTGAACATATGAATAAAAGGCCAGTCCTGGGCACTTTTCTGACCCCAGAACTCTCCTCCTCTTACCTGCCCACTACCTCTGAGTACTCAGTAGCACCCATACAGAGTGGGAACAGCCTGGTCTTCCTGTTCCCAAAGAACGGCTTTAGCTTGTTGTGTGAAGCTGAAGGTGATCATAGAGTATCCACCAGGTGCCGGCACCTAGGGTGTCCTTTACAGATATTATCGTATTTCATCCTTGCAATCTTGGAGGTAAATACTGTTATTACTGCAGATATAGATAAAGAAAACAAAGGCCGGGCGTGGTGGCTCATGTCTGTAATCCCAACACTTTGGAAGGCCAAGGCCAGCAGATCACTTGAGGTCAGGAGATTGAGACCAGCCTGGCCAATATGGCGAAATCCCGCCTATATTAAAAATACAAAAATTAGCCAGGCGTGGTGGCGCACGCCTGTAGTCCCAGCTACTCGGGAGGCTGAGGCAGAAGAATTGCCAGGAGGTGGAGGTTGCAGTGAGCCAAGATTGTGCCACAGCCCTCCAGCCTGGGTGACAGAGTGAGTCTCATTAAAAAAAAAAAAAAAAAGAAAAAGGAAAACAAGGCTCAGAGAGATAAAGTAATTTGCCCAAGATCACACAGCTAGTAAAGTGGCTGAGTCAGCATTTGAAACAAAAGTCTGTTGGATTCCAAAGCCAGTGGCCTTAACATCCATTACCAAAGCCAGTAAGTGCCCTGGGAAGATGTATGTGAGGTCCTCTTACTTCTGATGAGGAATCTGAGACTCAGCAAGGTCAAAGGATTTATCCAGGCTTGTAAAGCTGGGAAGTGAGCCAGGATTCTCATTCAGGCTCCTCCTAATTCTCAAGCCCATGCCTATAGTCTTGATACTACAAGATGACTATACCTCTCACCAAAGTCAGCCTCAGGGAAGGGAGGGTAGCCTCACCTTGAACCTTTATCTAAATCTCTGCGGGGACAAAGGTACTCCTTCACATTCCATGAGCTGCTGATTTCCTTGCTCTACAAGTGTCACAATCGCCAGTGCCATCACAAGTGGGGCTGTGGCTGAGCAAGGTGTCCTGGCAGTCCCATCCCTGCTAGCCCCTCCCCTCCACAGCAACAGGGCTAAAGATGGGGAAATTCAGAAGACTTCCCTCCCTGTGTGGCACTTCAGGCAGGTCACCCTGGTGAGTTTCCCACTGATGAGATGACTTGCATCCTGGTGAAATCTGAGAGATGGTTTAAAATAGGGCAGGTGATCGCCCTGTCAAGGTAGCTGTGCAGGAGACTGAGGAACAGAACATCGTCTCAGAGACAATAACCATTTAGAGCAGTGGTTCTTAACTGCCCACCAGAGGACACCTGTAATCTCTGGAGACATCTATGGTTGTCACAACTTGCCAGGGAGGGGATGCTCCTGGCACCCAGTCGGTAGAAGCCACCATTAAACATCCTATCAGGCTCAGGACCGCCCCCACAACAAAGAGTGATCCAGCCCAAACATTAACACTGCCCAGGCTGAGAAACTGTTCTAGGACAACCTTTGGAGACCCCTCACCTCCTCCAGCCTGGCTGGCTCTGGCAGCCAGGCTCGATAGCCATTTGGCAGGGGTGCCTTGATGGGATGTGTCTGTGTTGGAGGAAGGAGGGAAGATGGGACAGGGACAGGGAAGATGGGCCATCAGGATTCTAAGGTCCTTTACAAATCAGGTCACTTTACTACCCTGCTCAAAACCTTCCACAAGTTACCTACTGCTCCTATTACAAACTACAGACTCCTTCTTCTGGTGGCCTGCAGGGCCCAGCTGGGGCTCCCCTTCCAGCCCACTCACTCCTCTGTGGCCACACTGGTCAACCTTCCTTTTCCTAAACACATGGGGCCTCTGCCCTTGCCATTGCCTCTACTCAGAATGCTCTTTCTCAGCTCTCCACACGGTTGGCTCCTCCTTACCTTCCAAGTCTCCCCAGAGGAGCCGGCTCTGACCACCCCGTCAGAAGTGGCTGTACCCTTCCCAACACCAAAGTTGTCTTCTATCACACTAACTTGTTCTCTTCATAACTGCTAGAACATAAATTCCACGAAGGCAGGCTTTTTGCTGGTTTTGTCCACTGTATCCCAGCTGCTGACAATAGTGCTGGTATACTTTTTCAAATTTTTGAGACAGGGTCTTGCTCTGTTGCCCAAGCTGGAGTGCAGTTGCGTGATTACGGCTCACTGCCCTTGACCTCCTGGGCTCAACCAGTCCTCCTACCTTAAACTCCCTCCCAGGTAGCTGGGACTATATGGGTATACATCACCATGCCCAGTTAATTTTTACATTTTTTGCAGAGACAGGGTTTCAACATGTTTCCCAGGCTGGTCTCAAACTCCTGGGCTCAAGTGATCCACCCACTTCAGCCCCCCAAAGTATTATGATTACAGACATGAGCCAACATGCAAGGACCAGTGCCAGAATATTCTAATTACTTGGAATATTTTACCTGTATTTCTATATGAATTTTTTTGTTTTGTTTGGTTGGAGACAGAGTCTCATTCTGTCACCCAGGCTGGAGTGCAGTGGCACGATCTCAGCTCACTGCAACCTCTGCCTCCTGGGTTCAATCAATTCTCCTGCCTCAGCCTCCCAAGTAGCTGGGATTACAGGTGCACACCACCTCACCCAGCTAATTTTTGTTATTTTTAGTAGAGAAAGGGTTCCACCATGTTGGTCAGGCTGGTCTCAAAATCCTGACCTCAGGTGATCCTCCCGCCTCAGCCTCCCAAAGTGCTGGGATTACAGGTGTGAGCCACCGTGCCCTCCCTGAAAATTTTTAAAAACTATTTTATTGTCTACCTCTCCAAGTAGAATAGAAATGAGGGCAGGGAACTTGGCTGTCTAGTTCACCATTATATCCCCAGTACACAAAACAATGGATGGGCTGGGCACGGTGGCTCACACCTGTAGTCCCAGCACTTTGGGAGGCTGAGGCAGGTGGATCACTTGAGGTCAGGAGCTTGAGACCAGCCTGGTTAATATGGTAAAACCCCATCTCTATTAAAAATACAAAAATTAGCCAGGCTTTGTGGTGTGCACCTGTAGTCTCAGCTACATGGGAGGTTGAGGCAGGAGAATCACGAGATCGCACCACTGCACTCCAGCCTGGGTGGCAGAGTGGGACCCTGTCTCAAAAAAAAAAAAAGATGGCACATGGCAGAGGCTCAGTGAGCTTGCCAATAGTCAGGATGCCCCCTTCCCCCATCTCCTTGTCCTCCCTGCCTGGGGCTGGAGAGTGCCACACCTGCCATACCATAGGGAAAGCAAAATAAGGGGACACAGTACAGCAGTGAAGAGCATGACCTGGGGTTGATTACTGTTCTCCATTAATACCGGTTATGTGAAATTAGCAAGTTGCTTCACTGCTCTGAGCCTGTTTCCTCATGTACTAAAAGAGGATAATAACAGAACATACTTGACAGGGTTGTGGGGGGATTCACAAGATCACGGATGAGGCTGGCATCAGGCATGCAGTGGAAGGTTAATGAACACTGGCCAGTATTATCATTTGGAGGCATGTTCCCACCCATTTGCCTATCTTATAGAAAATGACAAAGGCTTGGCATGAGCCTGAAGAGGACTCCTGCCGATGGTGGCAGCTCAGGGCTCCTCTTTCCTCAGGGTGTCATGCCTGTGCTATTCCTCTGTCCTGTCTGGTGACTGCCAGGTACATGGAAGCTGAAAACTCACATTCACATCCAGGAAACGGAGATACTCGCGACCCAGGGAGCCTTCTGGCAGGCTCTGGAGCTTGCCCAGGTCGAGGGTGGATGTCGAAATCCGGGGACGTTCCCTGAAAGGCAAGACTTGGGCATTGGGAGGGTGTGGGCAAACGTACATGAACGATCCAACTACAGTGAGCTGAGGGGTGGGAGAATGTACAGAGGAGTAATGTGGCCACCACAAACCTTAATGGAGCACCTACAACTGGCTAGGCCAGTGTCAGGGTTAGGATACTACCCCAAACCAAGGACATGGGCAGGGGCACAATCTCGAAAGGAAGACAGTCCTCGAATGTGACCAGAGTACTTGCAAAAGGTACTGCAAGGAAAAGGTAAAGCCAGCACGTTATGATAACTTAATGAAGGCACAGAGCCCCGTGGCTGAAACTGGGCCAAGGCCATCACATTGCACAACTCTGAGGTCATCACAGTGTATACACATGTATGTGAATGACACCCCTGGAACTGGGGAGTGCCCAGCCTGTGCAACCATATGTGGCCAGGGTATCAAGAGCTCCCTAGCGGAACAGAACAAATACAATGTGATTCTAGAGAGGTCAGAATACCTAGAGATTGCCCCCAGACCCCCAGGCAGAGCTGGGACCTACTGCAGGATCTGGGCACCCTCTGGATCCCTCCTCATCCGGTCCCTGAGGACCTTCAGGGTGCGGTGTCCTGTGGTCTCCCCTAGAACTGCGACCATGTCTGAAAGGACAGAAACGGGCACAAATGGGGGATGTCACCTTAGGTAAGTTACCTGACCTGGTCTGAGTCTTTGTTTCCTACAGGACAAATTAGGGATAATAGCTAGCTTTTTGTTATAAGGATTCAGGTAAAACACTTAGCAAATTACCCAGCGCACAACAAGGGATCAGTACACATATCTATAGTTCTTAATCTACTGGGGCGGGACAGCTCTGGTTGGCACAACGTTCTAAAGATTTTATAAATCACTTTTCACAATACAATATAATGTCTCCATTGATTGGTAGAGGCTTAGGCATCAGAGATGCTGGGCTACAGCCCAGGTGTGTTCACTATCTAGGTGACCTAGTGCAAATTGCTTCACGTTTCTGTTTTTTTTTCAGACAGGGTCTTGCTCTGTTGCCCAGGCTGGAGTGAAGTGGTGTGATCATAGCTCACTGCTAGGACTACAGGCGTGCAGCTAGTTTTTAAAATTTTCTGTAGAGATGAGGTCTTGCTATGTTGCCCAGGCTGGTCTTGAACTTTGGCCTCAAGTGATCCTCCCACCTTGGATTCCCAAATTGCTGAGATTACAGGTGTGAGCCACCACGCCTGGCCTGCTTCACATTTTTCAGCCTCAGTGTCCTAATTTGTGAAGTGCAGACAACACCTTTCTTAGCTGGTTAATGTGAGAAACCATGAAAATCATGCATATATAACACTTACTAGCCAAGTGTAGTGGCTTACACCTGTAATCTCAACACTGGGGGGCTGAGGCAGGAGGATCACTCGAGGCCAAGAACTTCAGACCAGCCTAGGCAACATGGCAAGATGCTGTCTCTACAAAAAAATATTGAAAAATTCTCTGGCCGTAGGCCGGGCGCGGTGGCTCAAGCCTGTAATCCCAGCACTTTGGGAGGTCGAGGCGGGCGGATCACGAGGTCAGGAGATCGAGACCATCTGGCTAACACGGTGAAACCCCGTCTCTACTAAAAAAAATACAAAAAACTAGCCGGGCGAGGTGGCGGGCGCCTGTAGTCCCAGCTACTCGGGAGGCTGAGGCAGGAGAATGGCGTAAACCCGGGAGGTGGAGCTTGCAGTGAGCTGAGATCCGGCCACTGCACTCCAGCCCGGGTGACAGAGCGAGACTCCGTCTCAAAAAAAAAAAAAAAAAAAAAAAAAAATTCTCTGGCCTTGGCCAGGCGTGGTGGCTTATGCCTGTAATCCCAGCACTTTGGGAGGCTAAGGCAGGAGGATCACCTGAGGTCAGGAGTTTGAGACCAGCCTAGGCAACATGGCAAAATCCCGTCTCTACTAAAAATACAAAAATTAGCCAGGTGGCACAGGCCTGTAATCTCAGTACTCGGGAGGCTGAGGCATGAGAATCGCTTGCACCTGGGAGGTGGAAGTTGCATAGAGCTGAGAATGCGCCACTGCACTCCAGCGTGGGCCACAGAGCAATACTGTGTCTCAAAACAAAAAACTAGTGGCGACATGGAGATATAGTGTTTTTTTGTTTAAGATAGGGTCTCGCTCTGTTGCCCAGGCTGGAGTGCAATGACGCAAATCACAGCTCACTACAGTCTCGAACTCCCCTGCTCAAATGATCCTCCCATCTCAGCCTGGGAATAGAGCTGCATGCAACCAGGCCCAATTAATTCTTGTATTTTTTTTTTGTAGAGATGGGGATTCGCCATGTTGCCCAGGTTGGTCTCAAACTCCTCAGTTCAAGCCATTTGCCCGCTTCGGCCCCCCGATTGGGATTATAGGCGTGGGCCACTATAATAGGACCTGGCCTATTGTTTTTGTTAGTAGGAATAACAGTACTTCCCAGAACTCAAAAATCCTAGGAGACATGAGAAAAACACTGTAGAAACCTAGGATGTTCTAGTCACACATCCAGCAAACATTCATTGAGCATTTACTATGTGCCAGGCACTACCCAGAAGGCTGCAGATACAGTGGAAGGAGGCCGACACGGTCCTTGACCTCGGAGTTGACTTTTTAGTAGAACGTTATAAACTGATCGGTACTTATGAATCATCTAGTTAGTCTAGATGTTCTTACTATGGCTGCATGACAGATTCTCCCAAGTAGTTTAAAAAGACAGACGTTCGGATTCCACGCCCATTTCTCCCTCCATTGCAGATTCAGATTCAGTGCGTTTAGGTGGGATGCAGGAATCTGCATTTTCATAAACGTTCCGAGTGGTTACGAGCCGCAACCAGGTTTGGGTACCCCAACCTAGGCTATGGTCCAGTTACCCACAGGAAACCGCTCCCAGCCGCCCCGACGGGGGCGAGGCGCGGGCGGCCTTACCGTGGCGATAGGGGTCATAGAGCGCCATCGCCGCGGAGCCGGCGGCCAGCAGCGCTTTCTGCAGCGGGGAGGTGGGGATGTGGTGCGAGTACAGCGGGCCGGCGACGGCGCCGTCGCTCCTGGCCCGGAGAGGCATTTCTGCAAGGCAAGAAAAAGGCCGAGGTCAGAGGAGCCGGGCGCCCTCAGGTTCCTTCCCGCCTGCGCCCGGAACCCGGCTCCACTTGCCTGCCGCAAGCCGCGGGAGGCCGGGAAGCCTGCGGAGCCCGCGGAGCCGGCGCAGGACAGGGCTCAGCAGAGTCGCCATGGCAGTGGGCGTCCGCGGAGGATGGGCGGGCACGGAGAACGCCGTGAGTCTCTTAGGCGACGGAGCGTCGGAGGGGTCAAACACCACTGAAAAACCGATTCTGACGGCATTGCCAAGGCCTGTCGAGGGGAAACATCGCTGCACGAGCAGAAAGCATGTAGGCCAAGTAGGCGAAGGAAACGCACGCGAACTGTCTACCGTCTACGTCCACCGATACAAGACTCTCGCCATTTCACCTCGTCCCGGAAAGTGTCTGCAAAGGAGACGTAACCACGGTCACTCTGAGGCTCAGCGCCGGGCCCTATTTACTTCTCCACAGCCGGTTTTCCCCGAAGACTATAAAATGCGAACCTCTTCCGGCTGTGGAACATGGCGGCGCCCACGGTAAGGACCACATTTGGGGGCGGGGCCTTGCGGCACTTCCGTCCAGGTCCAGTGGGTGCTGTGATCTTCTAGCATGGGGTCCGCTGGCTTGTCGCGACTGCACGGGCTTTTCGCGGTCTATAAGCCCCCGGGGCTAAAATGGAAGCACCTGCGGGATACAGTGGAGCTACAACTTCTGAAGGGTCAGTGCCTCGAACCAGATCCACATTCCCGCTCTCGTTCTCTTGAAAGTCCATCTCCGTTTCTGGTCCTTCCCTCAAAACAAAATCACGTGACCTATTCGCCTGGGCAGAGCGCTTTCCCAAACGTCTGTTCTCTGTGCTTTCTTACTCCTCACTTTCCTCTGTTTTTCGAGGGGGAAAATGACTCAGTATTGTTCCTTGTCACACCGTTACTACGTTGTAGAGTCTATTTTAATCCGCCTGTTCCTTAACTACTGCTCTTCTGCCCTCTGCACCATGGGCTTCTGCTTTGTCTTCTACATCATACTTCCCTGTTGTCCGGGTGTTTGAACAGAACAAGATATTCCTGGCCAGGCGTCGTCGTGCACGCCTGTAATCCCAACTACTCTGAAGGCTGAGGCAGGAGGATCGCTTAAGCCCAAGAGTTTGACATTACAGTGAGCCATTATGGTGCCACTGTACTCCAGCCTGGGCGACAGAACGAGATCCTGTCTCTTAAAAAATATTTTATATGTACATATATTTGTATGTATGTGTGTATATATTATCTCTGTGTGTACAGGTCTCAATGCCAGGAAGCCTCCCGCCCCTAAACAGCGTGTTCGCTTCTTGCTGGGCCCCATGGAAGGCAGCGAAGAGAAGGAGCTGACCCTCACAGCCACCAGTGTACCCTCTCTCGTCAACCATCCACTGGGTAAGGCAGATTTAAGCAGGATGCTGGGTGTCAGGAAATCCCTGAGCAGAGTCAGTGTCCCAGTGCTCAGACTCCTGTGCCAGGCCCTTGAAGGTCCACAGAGGAGTGAGGTATTAGACCAGGAATTGGTAGACTTCCTTGGAAAGGGCCAGATACTGAATGTTTTTGTTTTCAGGCCATGTGGTTTCTGTTGCAACTGCTCAACTCTGCCAATGTAGTGCAAAACAGCTATAGACAGTATCTAGAGGAGTGAGCCTAGCTGTATTCCGGTAGAACTTTATGAACATTCATATTTTAATTTCAAGTAATTGTCACGTGTCACGAAGTACAGTTGCCCCTGAGTCCATGAGTCCACATCCCATGATCCAGCTTCAGATCAGCAATATTTGGGAGAAAAAAGAAACACAAAGTTCCAAAAAGCAAAACTTGAATTTGCTGTGTACCTAGTACGGTGTTGAATCCACTCAAAGTGATGCATAGGCATCATATTAGATATTGTAAGTAATCTAGCCGGGCGCAGTGACTCACGCCTGTAATCCCAGCACTTTAGGAGGCTGAGGCGGGTGGATCACAAGGTCAAGAGATAGAGACCATCCTGGCCAACATGATGAAACCCTGTCTCTACTAAAAATACAAAAATTAGCTGGGCGCGGTGGCTCACGCCTGTAATCCCAGCACTTTGGGAGGCTGAGGCGGGCGGATCACGAGGTCAGGAGATTGAGACCATCCTGGCTAACATGGTGAAACCCTGTCTCTACTAAAAATACAAAAAATCAGCCAAGCGTGGCAGCAGGCGCCTGTAGTCCCAGCTACTTGGGAGGCTGAGGCAGGAGAATGGCGTGAACCTAGGAGGCAGAGCTTGCAGTGAGCCGAGATCACGCCACTGCACTCCGGCCTGGGCGACTGAGTGAGACTCCGTCTCACTCAAAAAAAGAAAAAATACGAAAATTAGCCAGGCGTGGTGGTGGGCGCATGTAGTCCCAGCTACTCGGGAGGCTGAGGCAGGAGAATCACTTGAACCTGGGAGGCAGAGGTTGCAGTGAGCCGAGATTGCGCCACTGCAAGCCAGCCTGGCAACAGAGCGAGACTCCACCTCAAAAAAAAAAAAAAGTAATCTAGAGATGATTTAAAATATGTGGGAGGGCCAGGCCCAGTGGCTCATGTGTGTAATCCCAGCACTTTGGGAAGCTGAGGTGGTGGATTATTTGAGCCTAGGAGTTTAAGATCAGCCTGGGCAACATGGGGAAACCCTACTTCTACCAAAGAATACAAAAATTAGCCAGGCATGGGTGGTGCGTGCATGTAATCCCAGCTACTCAAGAGGCTGAGGCAGGAGAATCGCTTGAATCCGGGAGGCGGAGGTTGTAGTGAGCCAAAATTGCACCACTGTACTCCAGTCTGGGTGACAGAGTGAGACTCTGTCTCAAAAAAAAAAAAAAAAAAAAAGGGGGTGGCCAGGTGTGGTGGCTCACTCCTGTAATCCCTGCACTTTGGTAGGCTGAGGCGGGTGGATCACTTGAGGTCAGGAGTTTAAGACCTGCCTGGCCAACATGGCAAAGCCCTGTCTCTACTAAAAATTAGCTGGGCATGGTAGCACGCACTTGTAATCCCAGCTACTCAGGAGGCTGAGATACGAGGAGTCACTTGAACCTGGGAGGTGGTGGTTGTGGCGAGCCAAGATTGTGCCACTGCACTCCAGCGTGGGCAAAAGAGTGAGACTGCCTCAAAAAAAAAAAAAAAGTATATGGGACGACATACTTAGGTTATATGCAAATACTATGCCATTTTATATCAGGGACTTGAACATCTACAAACTTTGGTATCTGCAAGGGACCCTGGAACCAATCCCCCTGGATACCGAGGGACAACTGTAGTGTTCTATTTATTTAGAGACAAGGTCTCACTCTATCACCCAGGCTGGAGTGCAGTGGTGAGATCTCAGCTCACTGAAACCTCTGCCTCCTGAGTTCAAGCGGTCTTCCCACCTAAGCCTCCCGAATAGCTGGGACTACAGGCACAGGCCACTATGCCTGGCTAATTTTTGTATTTTTTGTAGAGATGGGGTTTTCTCATGTTGCCCATGCTAGTATTGAACTCCCGGGCTCAAGTGATCTGCCTGCCTTGGCGTTATAAGCGTGAGCCCCTGCAACTGGTCTCTTGATTTATTTTGAACCGTTAAAAAATGGAAAAGCCATTCTTAACTCATAGGCCACAAAAAAAACAAACAAGCTGGGTGGGGTGACTCTTTCCTGTAATCCCAGCACTTTGGGAGGCTGAGGCAGTTGGATCACTTGAGGTCAGGAGTTCAAGACTAGCCTGGCCAACATGGTGAAACCCCATCTCTACTAAAAATACAAAAAATTAGCCGGGCATGGAGGCGGGTGCCTGTAATCTTAGCTACTCGGGAGGCTGAGGCATGAGAATTGTGTGAATCTGGGAGATGGAGGTTGCAGTGAGTTGAGATCACGCCACTGTACTCCAGCCTGGGCGACAAAGTGAGACTCCGTCTCAAAACAAAACAAAACAAAACAAAAACCAAAAGAAAAACAGTCTTCAGGATTTGACTTGTGGACTGTAGTTTGCTGACCCTTTTTCTATTCTGGGACTCCACGTGAGAAATGAGACCCTAGGTAGAAGTCCTAAGGTGGGGGTTTTGGGTTTCTGGGAAAGAATGATTTCCCAGAAAAATCATTCTGAGCCACCGTGCCCAGCCAAAAGAGTGATTTTTTTTTTTTTTTTAAGACGGAGTCTCGCTTTGTCACCCAGGCTGGAGTGTAGTGGCGATATCACAGCTCACTGCAAGCTCCACCTCCTGGGTTCACGCCTTTCTCCGGCCTCAGCCTCCTGAGTAGCTGGGATGACAGGCGCCCGCCACCACGCCTGGCTAATTTTTTGTATTTTTAGTAGAGATGGGGTTTCACCATGTTAGCCAGGATGGTCTCGATCTCCTGACCCCGTGATCCGCCCGTCTCAGCCTCCCAGAGTGCTGGGATTACAGGCGTGAGACACCGCCCCTGGCCAGGAGTGATTTTTTTAGTGAACAAAGTTGCCCAACAATGGAACTGGTTCTGGTAATGTGCCCCCGTCCCTATATGTGATTAAGGCATGTGTCAGGGAATCTAGAGGTTTTACTAGAAACCTCTAAAACGCCTTGGACTTGTGATATTCATTGACTCTATTATATGGTAACAATAAGAAGTATAATGTATTGAGTCGTCACTCCGTACTAGGCATTGTTTTAAGCTTCCCCCAAGTACAATCCACAGTCCTGTGAGATGGGTCCTATTTTCATTTCACAAGAGAGAAAACTGAGGCTCAGTGTTGACATTTAGTAACATAGCCTGGATTCAGTAGGCCCTTAACTACTCTGGATCCTTCCCCTAAATTCCTCTTAATCTATGGAAGTGTAAACACTTCTGGCTCATTCCTGCATTTATTCTTTCAGTAGTTCTTTCCTGAGCAGCTAGTGAGCTGACACACCCAGGTTCTGCCTTAAGGAGCTCACGGCCTCCATTTTCCTCCAGGGACTCTTCGTCAGTAGAGCTGGGCAGGGAAGCCCACACTCCGGACCTTCAGTGTTAGGCCGGTCCTCCTAGAGCCTCTCACTGGCAGACTGATGTAGGCAGAGTAAGAGGTATCTGGGGCTGCCCTTTGGATCCCAGGGCACTGAGGAGACCGTTCAGGGTCCCAGATTCCATGCCAGGCAAGCCTGAGAGTCTAGCCTGATGCTAGTTTGGACTCCATGAGGCTGCATTCTGAGAACGAAGTCAACATGCAGCCCAAAGCCATCCTGGGGTGGCATTTAGTTGAGAAAATGGACCTCGTTTGTTTCTTTCCAGTATGTGGACCAGCATTCACCCATCTCAAGGTTGGCATGGGACATCGGCTGGATGTCCGGGCTTCTGGAGTACTTGGTAGGTGATGTGAGAAGCCTGGGGATACAGTGATAAGGCTTGAGAAAAGATCCCGGAGCTACCAGGAGCCCAGTCCGCTTCTTACCTGGCACCCACGTCCCACCATTCCTCTCCTGCCCTGATTCTTGCCCCAAGGCTGATCAGCTGGGGAGTGGATAGGTGGACGGAGGTAATCACAGGTTAATATCACAGTCACCCACCTTTGTTCAGTGATTCCCACACATGATGTAGTTCGAGGCCCTTTATGCACATTTATTTACTACGACGACTTTATTAGGTAGATACTGTATGATTTTATGGAAGAACAAAGTAGGAGTTAGGTGACTTGTTCTGTGTTCCGTGGCCAGTGAATACCCCTGGTCTGGAGAGGGAAAACCATCATTGCATCATGGGGCAGCCAGGCGCGTGACTCTGGGCCCAATGGCCAGGGCCTGCATGTGGCTGGGGCTGGACACACAAAGCCCTAGTCATGAGCCATCTGTGTCCCCAGGGTCAGGTGGTGCCCACATCCTCCAGCCGCGACAGTCACAGTCCCCTTGTCTTGCTTCCTGAGACACAGGCAGGCAGACATGATCTCACGCCCCCTCTCCCTGTTCTGTCTCCCCACGAGTGAATGCAGGGTCATTCTCTCCCGCAGCCAGAGGGAGAAACAGACCGGGAGAAAGGCAGGAAGTGACCACAGTGGCCACTGTTTATTGGGCCCTTCCTCTGTGCTGACTGCACAGCACCCACAGGAATCAGTATTTTTTTTTTCCCCGAGACAGAGTGTTGCTCTGTCTCCCAGCTGGAGTGCAATGGCGCGATCTCGGCTCACTGGAACCTCTGCCTCCTGGGTTCAAGCAATTCTCCTGCCTCAGCCTCCCGAGTAGGTGGAATTACAGGTGCCTGCCACCACATCTGGCTAATTTTTTTTTTTTTTTTGAGACGGAGTCTCACTCTTGTTGCCCAAGCTGGAGTGCAGTGGCATGATCTTGGCACCACACCTGGCTAATTTTGTATTTTTAGTAGAGATGGGGTTTCACCATGTTGGCCAGGCTGGTCTTGAACTCCTGACCTCAGGTGATCCGCCTGCCTCAGCCTCCCAAAGTTCTGGGATTATAGGCGTGAGCCACTGCGCCTGGCCTTCAGGCAGTATTTTTACCCCCATTTTGCTGATGGGGAACTTGACGCTCAAAGAGGCTACAGGTTATGCTTAGAGCTGCCCCTGATTTGAGTGCAGGTTTGTGTGACTAGGCCAGGGATCTCTTCCTTTGAGGTGTCAGAGTCCCCTGGGGAGCTTGGCAAGGATCCTAGGCCCCCTCCAACCATGAGTCAGATTCAGTGCATATGGGTAAGCCCTAGCAATCTGCATGTGATGCATACCCAGAGGGGCGTATTTGCCCCCTATAGATCTTCTTGCCTTCCTGCTGCCTTTGGCAGCATCAGAAAAGGGAGTATTCTGATGGTGGGGGTAGGGGCAGGAATATTTAGGGGAATGGGAAGGGGGTCCCAGGTGTGAGATGAGGCTGGCTGCTTTTCAGTGCTCGGCGTGGGACATGGATGCAGGCTCCTCACCGATATGTACAATGCTCATCTCACCAAGGTACGAGGGTCTGGGGACAGCCTATTTCTCTCTTGGTCCTTTCCTGGGGGTCACCAGCAGGATTCTGAAGCTTAGAGGATTCCTTCGGGGAGCACCCCAGCCATCAACAAGCATTTTTTTAATGATCGTATGCTGCACAGGGGCGGTAATGATGATAATAACTACTGGTGTTAGTGTATGCCAGCCACTCTGTGCCGAGCACTGTATGTGGATTCCCTTAGGGAAGCCTCACAGCCTCCCTGTAAAGTGGAATCTGTTGTTAGCCCCATTTCACAGATGAGAGAACTGAGGCTCAGAGAGGAGATGTCACTTACCCAGGTCACGTAGTTGTTAGGGCTTTAAGAGCTGGCATTTGAACCTAGGTCTCTCCAACACCAGAGCTTGATCATGATGCCATTCCATATTCTGTCCCAAGACTGAGAGGTAGATGTCAGCATCCTGCCCACAAGGGGCTTACCATCCAGAGGTAGGGTTGGGGCTATGGAGCCTGATGCCACAAAGTATGTGCGTAGGTGCCACGTTATGGGGCCCACGTTTTTAGTGGTTAAGAGCACAAAATTCTGGAGCCAAATGACTTCAGTTCGAACCCCAGCTTCTACCACTCTGACAGCTGTGTGTCCTTGGGTGGATTACCTAATTAATATCTGTGTTTCTCAGTTTCCTCATCTGTAAAATGGGAATGGGGGCCAGGTGTGGTGGCTCATACCCGTAATCCCAGTACTTTGGGAGGCTGAGGCAGGAGGATTGCTTGAGCCCAGGAATTTGAGGCCATTCTGGGCAACATAGCAAGACTCCATCTCTATTTAAAAAATTGTTTTAGGCCGGGTGCAGTGGCTCAAGCCTGTAATCCCAGCACTTTGGGAGGCTGAGGCGGGCGGATCACGAGGTAAGGAGATCGAGACCATACTGGCTAACACGGTGAAACCCCGTCTCTACTAAAAAATACAAATAACTAGCCGGGCGTGGTGGCGGGCGCCTGTAGTCCCAGCTACTGGGGAGGCTGAGGCAGGAGAATGGCATAAACCTGGGAGGCGGAGCTTGCAGTGAGCTGAGATCCGGCCACTGCACTCCAGCCTGGGCAACAGAGCAAGACTCCGCCTCAAAAAAAAAAAACAATTTTTTTTAAATTGTGGCCTGGGCTCAGTGGCTGCTGCCACTTTGGGAGGCTGAGGTGGGTGGATCACTTGAGGCCAGGAGTTCAAGACCAGCCTGGACAACATGGTGAAAACCTGTCTCTACTAAAAATACAAAAAAATTAGGCTGGTGGTGTGTGCCTATCCTCCCAGCTACTCAGTGATCCACGTGCCTCTGTCTCCCAAAGTACTGGGATTATAGGTGCCTCTGTCTCCCAAAGTACTGGGATTATAGGTGTGAGCCACTGTACCCAGCCAATCATTCCTTATCTGTGGCAGATGGGGTTAGCTGCACAGATTCAGAGGAGGGGGAGTTTTTAGAAGCCGGGATGAGGAAGGGCCTGATCTGGGCCATGAAACCTTATTCTATTTAGAGGCGTGGAGAGAATCTGACAGGACATGCTAGAAGGGACTCGGGGTGATAAATTGCCAAGTTAGGTTGGAGAGGAGAGACACGGAGGCCTGGGGTGGCCACAGGGTAGCTGTCAGCGGTCAGCACCTTTGGAGGCTGCCAGTGCTGGTTGTCATGGAAACCAGCCAGCAATCTTGTAGGGAGCCTGCTGACTGGGAGCCAGGTACCATGTCCCGCTGGCTGAATCGGGGCAGCAGCACTGTGAGACTGGCCCTGTTACTGTCCCCAGGTGACGGGAGAGCTTGACTACAAAGAGAGGAAGAGCTGCTGAAGGCCACATGACAGAGCTGGTGCCCTTCTTCATGGGGCTGTGGAGCAACTGGGTGGGGGCTGGGTGCATGAGTTCCCTGAGGGAGACCTGGGGACTCCCCACCTCCAGCCTCTGGGGCAGGGGCTACTAGGGCTTAGAGTGGGGTCACTGATGGATCTTTTCCTCCCTGTCCTTGAAGGATTACACAGTGCGTGGCCTCCTTGGCAAAGCTACAGATGACTTCTGTGAGGATGGGAGGCTGGTAGAGAAGACAACCTATGGTGAGAACCAGAAGTGGCTGCTGCTGCCTCCCTCCGTGTTTGCTTTCCCCGAGTCCTCTCCCTGCCCTAGGCCACACAGGCCCCTTTTCAGTTCCACTCCACACACCAGGCTTGGGCTGAGGCTTTGGCCATGGGATCTGTCCACCAGGAGCACCCTCTACTCCCCTGCTTGCCTGGCTGAAATGTAACATCACTTCCAAAGACCCTCGTTTCTCTCCATCCGTATTGTCAGTCTTTTACCTTTTCCTTTTTTTTTTTTTTTTTTTTTTTTTTGAGACAAAGTCTTGCTTTGTCACCCAGGCTGGAGTTCAGTGGCACAGTCTTGGCTTGCTGCAGGCTCTGCCTTCCAGGTTCACGCCATTCTCCTGCCTCAGTCTCCTGAGTAGCTGGGACTACAGGTGCCTGCCACCATGCCCAGCTTTTTTTTTTTTTTTTTTTTTTTTGTATTTTTAGTAGAGACGGGGTTTCATTGTGTTAGCCAGGATGGTCTCAATCACCTGACTTCGTGGTCCACCTGCCTCGGCCTCCCAAAGTGCTGGGGTTACAGGCGTGAGCCACCGCACCCGGTCTTTCCTTTTCTTTTCTTTTTTTTTTTTTTTTTTTTTGAGACGATGTCTTGCTCTGTCGCCCAGGCTGGAGTGCAGTGGCGCGATTTCGGCTCACTGCAATCTCCACCTCCCAGGTTCAAGCAATTCTCCTGCCTCAGCCTTCAGAGTAGCTGACATTACAGGCACACACCGCCACACCCAGCTAATTTTTTGTATTTTTAGTAGAAATGGGGTTTCACCCTGTTGGACAGTCTGGTCTGGAACTCCTGACCTCAGGTAGTCTGCCCGCCTCGGCCTCCCAAAGCGCTGGGATTACAAGTGTGAGTCACCGTGCCTGGCTACTGTTCTAAATTTTAAAAAGAGGCTGGGCACAGTGGCTCATGCCTATAATCCCAGCACTTTGGGAGGCCAAAGTGGGTGGATTACAAGGTCAGGAGTTTGAGACCAGCCTGGCCGATAGAGTAAAACCCTGTCTCTAGTAAAAATGCAAAAATTAGCTGGGCGTGGTGGCAGGCCCCTGTTGTCACAGCTACTCAGGAGGCTGAGGTAGGAGAATTGCTTGAACCTGGGAGGCGGAGGTTGCAGTGAGCCGAGATCACACCACTGCACTCCAGCCTGGCAACAGAGCGAGACTCTGTCTCAAAAATAATAATTATAATAAATAATACAAAAAATTAATGGCATGGTAGTGCATGCCTATAATCCTAGCTACTTGGGAAGCTGAGGCAGGAGAATCACTTGAACCCAGAAGGTGAAGGTTGCAGTTTGCCGAGATCTCACCACTGCACCCCAGCCGGGGCAACAGGGCGAGATTCCATCTCAAAAAAAAAGGCCAGTTCGGTGGCTCACGCCTGTAATCCCAGCACTTTGGGAGGCCAAGGCAGGCGGATTGCCTGATGTCAGGAGTTCGAGACCAGCCTAGCCAACATGGTGAAACCCGTCTCTACTAAAAATACAAAAACTATCTGGGTGTGGTGGCGTGTACCTGTAATCCCAGCTGTTCGGGAGGCTGAGGCAGGAGAATTGCTTGAATCGAGGAGGCAGAGCGTACAGTGAGCTGAGATTGTGCCATTGCACTCCAGCCTGGGCAACAGAACAAGACTCTGTCTCAAAAAAAGAAAAGGCTGGGTACGGTGGCTCACACCTGTAATCCCAGCACTTTGGAATGCCGAGGCAGGCAGATTACAAGGTCAGGAGATTGAGACCATCTGGCCAACATGGTGAAACTCCATCTCTACTAAAAATACAAAAAAAAAAAAAAATAGCTGAGCATGGTGGCGTGTACCTGTAGTCCCTGCTACTCGGGAGGCTGAGGCAGGAGAATCGCTTGAACCCGGGAGGCAGAGGTTGCAGCGAGCCAAGATTGTGCCACTGCACTCCAGCCTGGGTGACAGAGCGAGACTCCGTAACCAAAACAAAACAAAACAGCAAAAGAACTTTTGAACACAAGGAAATGATGGATACTGGGGTGTACTTGAGGTAGGGCAGGGTAGACAGAGAGAGAGAAGCAGAAAAGGTAACTATTGGGTACTGGGCTTAATACCTGGGTGATGAAATAATCTATATAACAAACCTCCATGACACATGTTTACCTATGTAGCAAACCTTCACATGTACCCCCGAACCTAAAATAAAAGTTAAAAAGAGAATGCCCTTACAATGCTGAGTCATGTGTATCTTTCTGAGAAGAAGGTCCAGAGCTTTCATGAGAATCTCAAAGGACTCCCAACCACCCCACCATGGGGATCCCTCCAAAACGTCCTGTCTCCATGTTCCAGGGACGGGGCTGTCCTGGGGGGAAGGAGTTTGCTGTAACCAATCCTCAGCAGGTACCTGTGCACTGACAACCACCTGCCTTTTCCAGACCACGTGACCAGAGAGAAGCTGGACCGCATTCTGGCCATGATCCAAGGCTCCCATCAGAAGGCCCTGGTGATGTGAGTGGGGCCCTCAGTGAGGTACTGGGAGAGCAGTAAGTGCCCTTGGCTCCCATAGGCTCCCCCAAACCTAGGGCAGATTCCATGGATCTTGTTTTTAGAGTCCCGAACCAGACGGGAGCTGCTTGTTTCTTTCTTGGCATTAAGAAATGGTTCTGTGTGCCAGGTCTTGGGTTAGCCAATGGGAGGCCAGGAAGAGCAAGAGAACCCAGCTGTCCTGCTGAGATAATATGATTTAATGGCAAGGAAACCATCATCGGAGCACAGAGCCCAAGGGCAAGAGCAGCCAAGGAGTTAAGAACTTGGGCTCTGGAGCCAGCTTGCCTGGGTTTCCTGACTCTGCCAGGCACCTGGTGATGAAGACGGGCAGGAAAGGTGGCTGGAGGAGCCACGGTGGCAGGGCACACAAAGCAAATGAGGAACTTACAGAGAGGCACCTTTCATGCGGGGGAAAGGGTAGGTGGTCTACCCAGCTGCAGCCCCTCCTGATCTGCAGGTACTCCAACCTCGACCTGAAGACCCAGGAAGCCTATGAGATGGCTGTGAGAGGCCTGATCCGGCCCATGAACAAGTCCCCAATGCTGATAACCGGCATCCGATGCCTCCACTTTGCACCTCCGGAATTCCTCTTAGGTAGGTTGGCCAAGGAAGTTGGAGCAGTGAGATGGGGCCCCTGGGTTTTGGAGTCACTCAGGAATGCTCTTGCAGAGGTCACTGTTGTCCGGCTCAGCTGAGGCCAGCATATGCCGGCCCTGATCTCTGCAGGCCAAGGCATCAGGCGCCGACTTCCTTCCCAGCCCTGGCCTGGACTTGGCTGATGACAGAGCTAACAGAACAAAAGCTCTCCTATCTCTTGCCAAGTCACCCTTGGAAGCCAAACCTTACCAAGCAAAGGTTATATTTAGTGGTTCATTTCCAGAGCTGCCCATGTTTGAAGCTGTGAGGTCTCCATCAGACACCACTCTTACCTCTCCAGTCCCACCCAGCTCAGGCCCTTCTTATCTGTGTTCCTTTTGTCTCTCCCTGCCCCTGCAGAGAGAGCATAACATGTTGGTCATGTTAATGCCTGCTCCTCTGCTTGAGCACTGAATTCTCTGTTATTAAGCACTTTCTATAAATGATCTTTTTTACTCCTCCTAACTGCCATTTTACAGATATGGAAACCGAGTCTTAGTAAAAGGCAGGTTGTAACCTGGGCAACATGGCGAGACCCTGTCTCTACAAAAAATAAGAAATTAGCCAGTTGTGATGGCTCAGAACTGTAGTCCTAGCTACTCCGGAGGCTGAGGCAGGAGGATCATGTGAGCCTAGGAGGTCGAGGCTGCGGTGATCTGTGATCACAGCACTGCACTCTAGCCTGGGTGATGGAATGAGACCCTGTTGCCAAAAAAAGGCAGATTCTGACTTATCAGGTCCCAGTGGGGCCTGAGGTTCTGCAAGTCTAACATTTCAGGTGGCACCCACAGGGCAGGTCCAGTGAATAGCACAACCTGGAATGCTAAGGGGTCTTGCTAAGGTTGTTACACACCTAGGAGGTATCCAAGGGGTGTGGGTGCACAACCACACACTAGAGGCTGTGCTCTCACCACCATGTCTTTGTCATTGTGTGTCCCTGGCAGAGGTGCAGTGCATGCATGAGACGCAGAAAGAGCTGCGAAAGTTGGTTCATGAAATCGGCCTGGAGCTAAAGACCACTGCTGTCTGCTCCCAAGTGCGGCGCACGCGCGACGGCTTCTTCACGCTCGACAGCGCCCTCCTGAGGACCCAGTGGGACCTGCACAATATCCAGGATGCTATCCGGGCTGCTGCCCCCCAGGTAGCTTCAGAGCTGGAGAAGAGCTTGGGCCCGCAGCTGGACACCAAGGAGCTCCCCAGTCGGGAATGGTCCTGGGAATCCCAGGGCCCGAGCTTTATCTTGGTGCCGGAGAAGGGTGCAGGGCACTGAATGCCCAGGCAGCTGCTGGGGCAGTGAATGGATAAATAGAAGAGCTGCTATGAGCTCGACCTGATAGCTGTGCAGAAAGTGAGAGCAGGAGCACCTTTTCTACGTGTGACACGAAACTCAAGCTGTAACAGAAAGATCAATGGACTTGACCCAACTGAAAAGGAAAAACTTCTGTATGGAGGAAAAGACAGTAAACAAATGACAGACTGATAGAAAGTACTGGCAGGCGAGGCGTGGTGGCGGGCACTTGTAATCCCAGCTACTCCCAAGGCGGAGGCAGGAGAATTGCTTGAGCCCAGGAGTTTTAAGGTTGTAGTGCGCTAGACGGTGCCTGTGAATAGCCACTGCACTCTAGTCTGGGGAACATATGAGATCCCCCCAAATCTCAAAAAAAAAAAAAAAATTCCCAATAAACTATGTGCCCATTAAAATTAAAAATTTTTTAAAAATTGTGTTTGCAGTGTCATTAACCAAGGACTAATATCCACAACATACAGAGAGCCCTTAGAAAGCAAGAAAACAGGCCGGGCGCAGTGGCTCAAGCCTGTAATCCCAGCACTTTGGGAGGCCGAGACGGGCGGATCACGAGGTCAGGAGATCGAGACCATCCTGGCTAACACGGTGAAACCCCGTCTCTACTAAAAATACAAAAAAACTAGCCGGGCGAGGTGGCGGGCGCCTGTAGTCCCAGCTACTCGGGAGGCTGCGGCAGGAGAATGGCGTGAACCCAGGAGGCGGAGCTTGCAGTGAGCCGAGATCCAGCCACTGCACTCCAGCCTGGGCGACAGAGCAAGACTCCGTCTCAAAAAAAAAAAAAAAAAAAAAGCAAGCAAGAAAACAGCCCGGGCGCGGTGGCTCACGCCTGTAATCTCAGCACTTTGGGAGGCCGAGACGGGCGGATCACGAGGTCAGGAGATCGAGACCATCCTGGCTAATATGGTGAAACCCCGTCTCTACTAAAAATACAAAAAACTAGCCGGGCGAGGTGGTGGGCGCCTGTAGTCCCAGCTACTCGGGAGGCTGAGGCAGGAGAATGGCGTAAACCCGGGAGGCGGAGCTTGCAGTGAGCTGAGATCCGGCCACTGCACTCCAGCCTGGGCGACAAAGCGAGACTCCGTCTCAAAAAAAAAAAAAAAAAAAAAAAAGCAAGAAAACAATGACAAAATTAGGCAGATGATATGAAGCATATATCAGAAGAAATCCAAATGGCTAGTAAGCCAGAAATGACACTCAACCTCTTTAATACTGGAAGACATAGAAGAAAATGAGAAGATTTTTGTTATTTTTCTGTTGTTTTGAGATGGAGTCTCACTCTTGTCGCCCAGGCTGGAATGCAGTGGCACGATCTCAGCTCATTGTAGCCTCTGCCTCCCAGGTTCAAGTGATTTCTCCTGCCTCAGCCTCCCAAGTAGCTGGGATTACAGGCGCCCGCCACCACACCTGGCTAATTTTTTGTGTAGTAGAGATGGGGTTTCACCATGTTGGCCTGACTTGGCTTCCTAAAGTGCTGGGATTACAGGCAAGAACCACTGTGCCTGGCCGGAACCTCAGTCTTTTTTTTTTTTTTTTTTTTTTTTGAGACGGAGTCTCGCTCTGTCGCCTGGGCTGGAGTGCAGTGGCCGGATCTCAGCTCACTGCAAGCTCCGCCTCCCGGGTTCACGCCATTCTCCTGCCTCAGCCTCCCAAGTAGTTGGGACTACAGGCGCCCGCCACCTCACCCGGCTAGTTTTTTGTATTTTTTTAGTAGAGACAGGGTTTCACCGTGTTAGCCAGGATGGTCTCGATCTCCTGACCTCGTGATCCGCCCGTCTCGGCCTCCCAAAGTGCTGGGATTACAGGCTTGAGCCACCGCGCCCGGCCGGAACCTCAGTCTTTTTTCTTAAAGGTCTTCAGTTTTTTGGATGAGCTCCACCCACAATTGTCGTGGATAATCAGTGTGACTCAAAGTCCACCAATTGACTGATTGAAATGTTAATCGTGTTTTTGTTTTTGAGACAGAGTCACCCAGGCTGGAGTGCAGTGGCTCACTGCAACCTCCGCCTCCCAGGTTCACACCATTCTCCTGCCTCTGCCTCCCCAAGTAGCTGGGACTACAGGCACCCACCACCGTGCTCAGCTAATTTTTTTGTATTTTTAGTGGAGACGGGGTTGCACCGTGTTAGCCAGGATGGTGTTGATCTCCTGACCTCGTGATCTGCCCGGTTCATCCTCCCAAAGTACTGGGACTACAGGCGTAAGCCACCACACCTGGCCTGTTTTGTTTTGTTTAAGATGGAGTCTCAGTCATCCAGGTTGGAGTGCAGTGGCGCAATCTCAGCTCACTGCAACCTCTGCCTCCCAGGTTCAAGAAATTCCCCTGCGTCAGCTTCTCTAGTAGCTGGGATTACAGGTGTGTACCACCATGCCTGGCTAATTTTTATGTTTTTAGTAGAGACAGAGTTTCACCATGTTGGCCAGGCTGGTCTGAACTCCTGACCTCAGGTGATCCGCCCATCTCAGCCTCCCAAAGCGCTGGGATTACAAGCATGAGCCACCACGCCTTGCTTGTTTTTGTTTTTTAGACAGGGTCTTGCTCTGTCACCCAGGCTGGAGTGCAGTGATGCAAACATGACTCACTGCAGCTTCATCCTCTCAGGCTCAGCCATCTTCTCACCTCAGCCTCCAGAATAGCTGGGACTACAGGCGTGCACACGGTGTCTGGCTTATTTTATTTTATTTTATTTTTTATATTTTATAGGTTTTTTTTTTTGTTTTTTTTTTTTTTGAGACGGAGTCTCGCTCTGTCGCCCGGGCTGGAGTGCAGTGGCCGGATCTCAGCTCACTGCAAGCTCCGCCTCCCGGGTTTATGCCATTCTCCTGCCTCAGCCTCCCAAGTAGCTGGGACTACAGGCGCCCGCCACCTCGCCCGGCTAGTTTTTTGTATTTTTTTTTTTTTTTAGTAGAGACGGGGTTTCACCGTGTTAGCCAGGATGGTCTCGATCTCCTGACCTCGTGATCCGCCCGCCTCGGCCTCTCAGAGTGCTGGGATTACAGGCTTGAGCCACCGCGCCTGGCCTATATTTTATACTTTATATTTTATTTTATATTTTATGTTTTCTTTTACTTTATTTTTAAAATTTAATTTAATTTAATTTAATTTAATTTTTGAGACAGGGCCTTGCACTGTCACCCAGGCTGGAGTGCAGTGGTGTGATTTTGACTCATTGCAGCCTCGACCTCCTGGGTCAAGCGAATCTTCCTGCCTCAGTCTCTGGAGTTGCTGGGATTACAGGTGTGCACCACCAAGCCTGGATAATTTTTGTATTTTTAGTAGAGACAGGGTTTCACCATGTTGGCCAGGCTGGTCTCGAACTCCTGACCTCAGGTGATCTGCCCACCTCGGCCCCCCAAAGTACTGGGATTACAGGCATGAGCCACCGTGCCTGGCCTGTTTTTGTTTTTTTGACAGTATTGCTCTGTCAGCCAGGCTGGAGTGCAGTGGTACAAACATGACTCTGCAGCTTCATCCTCTCAGGCTCAACCGTCTTCCCACCTCAGCCTCCAGAATAGCTGGGACTACAGGCGTGCACCACGATGCCGGGCTAAAATTTTTTTTCCAGCTAATTTTATTATTACTATTTTTTGAGACAGAGTCTTGCTCTGTCACCCAGGCTTTAGTGCAATGGCATGATCTTGGCTCACTGCAACCTCTGCCTCCCAGAGTCAAGTGATTCTCCTGCCTCAGCCTACCGAGTAGCTGGGATTATAGGCGTTCACCACCACGCCCAGCTAATTTTTGTATTTTTAATAGAGGTGGGATTTCACCATGTTGGACAGGCTGGTCTCGAACTCCTGACCTTAGGTGATCTGCCTGCTTCAGCCTCCCAAAGTGCTGGGATTACAGGCATGAGCCACCGCACCTGGCCCACCTGAGATCAGGAGTTCGAGACCAGCCTGGCCAACATAGTGAAACCCTGTCCCTACTAAAAATACAAAAATTAGCGCTATGGTGGCGCACTCCTGTAATCCCAGCTACTTGGGAGGCTGACGCACAAGAATCGCTGGAGCCCAGGAGGTGGAGGTTGCCATGAACTGAGATTGTGCCCCTGCACTCCAGTCTGGGCGAGAGAGTGAGACTCTGTCTCAGAAAAGAAAAAAAAAAGGCTGGGCACGGTGTCTCACGCCTGTAATCCCAGCACTTTGGGAGGTCAGGGTGGGTGGATCACGAGGTCAGGAGTTTAAGACCAGCCTGACCAACATGGTGAAACCCATCTCTACTAAAAATACAAAATTAGCTGGGCGTGGTGGCGGGTGCCTGTAGTCCCAGCCTTCCGGGAGATTGATGCAGGAGAATAGCTGGAACCCGGGAGGCGGTGCTTGCAGTGAGTGGAGATTGCGCCACTTCTCTCCAGCCTGGGTGACAGAGTGAGACCTCGTCTCAAAACAACAACAACAACAAAAAAAAAACAGAACAAAATCGAGCAATATTTAGATAAGCAGAAAGCAGAATCCAACAAAACGGTGAGGAAAGCTGGGTGGGAGTGGAGGGTATCAGCAAAACTCAGTTCTTTGGAAAAATTAGGTAACTTGAACCTAGGACCAAATGGGCTGTCACACCACCCCATTTAGAGTCCTTATTGGCATAGAGATGACAAAAGTGGACTCTGTGATGGCCTATCATGATCTCAGGATAGCAGGATAGGGGAACTCTGAGTCGTGGCCAAAATATTTGGTCAATGTACACAGCCTCAGACAGCTGGGAATACCACCCCAAATCACCTGGATAAGAAGATGTTTTCCTTATCCCATGTCTTTAACTCTGAGAAGGGTGGAGTTGAACAATCAATGATTGTTAAAAATGTACCAAATGTGTAAGCGTCATGAGGTATTTAAGCTGAGTTTTAAAATTAAAATTCTGCTAGGTGTGGCAGCTCATGCCTGTATCCCAGCATTTTGGGATCCTCACACAGGAGGACTGCTTGAGCCCAGAAGTTTGAGACCAACCTGGACAACACAAGGAGACCCTGTCTCTACAAAAAAAAAAAAAAAAAAAATTAGCCAGGCGTGTTGGTGTGTGCCTGTAGTCTCAGCTACTAGGGAGGCTGAGAAGGGAGGATCGCTTGAACCTAGCAAGTCAAGGCAGCAGTAAATGGAGATCTGTACTCCAGCCTGGGCAACAGAGCAAGACCCTATGTCAGAAAAAAAGAAAAAGTCACCCAACAGGCTGAGCGCGGTGGCTCACGCCTGTAATCCCAGCACTTTGGGAGGCCAAAGCGGGTGGATCACTTGAGGTCAGGAGTTCAAGACCAGCCTGGCCAACATGGTGAAACCCTGTCTCTACCAAAAATACAAACATTAACTGGGCATGGTGACGCTTGTCTGTAGTCCCAGCTACTTTGGAGACTGAGGTGGGAGAACCATTTGAACCCAGGAGGTGGAGGTTGCAGTGAACCGAAATCAAACCACTGTACTCT